AAAACAATACAAATATAATTTAGATAGCCCTCATCTTCTTGCAGCCATCCACCCAGCTCCCCATAAGTTACCCCTCCTTCCCCACTCAGATCCCAGAAATCCCTTCCCCCACTCCCATCGTCCGCGTGGATTCTCCCCAGAAACCTAGCTGTTTCAAGCTTCTCTACCAAGCTATCCAGCTACACTCAGACACCCTTCACAACCACTGATACCCTCAGCCACCGCCATCCTGTACCTCCTGGACATACCCACAAAACTCGGCTTCCCCTCACCCCAACTTTTAACTCCAGTCACTGATCTTGCTCCTATTTTACTTCCAGGCATCTGCACAAACACAATTTTCCTCTACTACTCCCCAGCTATATCAACCCCCCCCCCCCACAATATTTCCTAGTTGCTCCCATCATCTGCCCAGATACCCCCACAAACCCAGCTGTCCCAACTTTCCCCACTCAGTACGCAACTACTCCCCATACACCTTTCCACACCCATGCACCTGCTACAGTTGCCAATTTAGTGCAGCTTCTTCTTCCACCACTTCCTGGGACAGAGTTAATTGACCTTAAACTTAAGTTTATGGTAATATACAAATTATTTGCTGGTGGTTCCGTTATTTAATTACATTATTAGCATATTTGAAAATACTTTGCATAAAAATCACATATGAAGCTGTGCAAAAATTGACAGCTGTGAGGACTGCCCCACAGTCAGAATTTGAAAGCTAAAATAACAACAAAAATCTACATTTATAAGTTGCACTTTCATGATAAAGAGATTGCACTACAGTACTTGTATGAGGTGAATTGTAAAATACTATTTCTTTTGTTTATCATTTACAGTGCAAATATTTGTAATAAAAAATACTAATATAAAGTGAGCACTGTGCACTTTGTATTCTGTGTTGTAATTGAAATCAATACATTTGAAAATGTAGAAAACATCCAAAAATATTTAAATAAATTGTATTCTATTGTTTACCAGTGTGATTAATCACAGTTAGTTTTTTTAATCACTTGACAGCCCTAGCAATTACTAATAACATGATCCACTTATTTTATTTCAACCAACGGGTTCTGAGCTGACAGTATTATATTACTGTTCATGTAGGCCCATATTCAGAAAGATATGAAGGGCCTGCCTAACTTAAACCCGCAAGTAGTCTCTGACTTCAGTGGGCCTTATTCATTTATTTATTTAGATTTAAAATAATTGAAAAGATTCCTTCCTGAGATTCTAGACACCATAACACATCATTAGCAATGCAATAAAATCCTAGCAGCATTAAAGTAATCATTCTAATAGGACCTAGCCAGCCAGCTACCTACAGAAACTCCTTTCTGACCCTCCATCATTGTGGGAAGCATACCCTCAGCCCTTTCCAAACATCCTATTGCAGCATGCAAAATTAGAGCTATTTTGCAGCAAATGGGGGAGCAAGTTCCAGAGTACTGATGTCCTGACAGAGACAGCTTTCTCCTCTCTTTTATAATGAGAGGGATCCAGCTCAAGCAGCCTTTTGATCACAACAATGGCACAGAGAGATGTGGTCAGTCAAACAGGCCAGTCTCAGGCCATTTAGGCTTTTATAGGTCATAACCAACACCTTGAACTCCACCTGGGAACCAATAAGTCACCAGTGCAGATCCCAGAGCACCGATGAACATGCTCCCAGGGAGATGCCCTCTTCAGTAAACAAACAGCAGCATTCTGCACATGGTTTTAAGGTGTAACCACATGTAGATCACACGGCAATAGTTTAATCTTGATGTGACAAAATCATGAATAACAATGGCAAGATATCTTCATGTCCACACGGGCACACCCATGCAGAGCAGTTTTGCAGAAAACAATTAAACTAAGTACACACAAAAGAACAACACTAAGGAAACAAAAGGGAACTCACTGTTTTTCTTTTCTCTAATCCCTTTAAGTTTTATAGACTTTGCTTTAAATAATAGTTGATTAAAAAATCAGATAGAGGTGTGACTTTTAAGTTCATGATGTCCCTTAAAATTCTATTACTAATATTAGTAATGTTTTAAATGTCCCTTAATACTCAATCAAGAGTTTGAAAATCATTTTAGATTAGTAGCAGCAATTGGTTAAAATGCCAGGGCACAATTTTGATAAGTGTGCAGCTTATATCAACTTATGTGCATGCACGCAAGACCAGAATTTGCCCCTAAATCTTTATGTGCGTACTTGAGATCAGATTTTTCAGAAATGTTTGGTGATCTGTATGCATCCTCCCATTGACTGTAAGCAGCTTGCTGTAGAGAGTAATCTCCTTAGACCTATACAAATGTTCTCGCTGAACCAAGGATTTTTAGGAAGAAAAAGCAAAGTATTGTTTGTAAAACTTTGGCATGAACTAAAAACACTTTATTTATATAGATCAAATCCACCTGCTGGAAATCATTTTGACATCTTGGTGTAAAAAAAAGTTCTGTACTTGGTGAGTCTTTGCTGAGTCTGAATAGTGTTGCATTTTATAGCCTGTTTTCATGGGACCACCACTCAGTTCCAAGCCAATAGAATACTTTAAAATGTTGTCTCCTATAGCAGCATGAAAACACTCCAAGAATTTGATGCTTTCAAGAATAATTTGTGACTGTTATGTAAGCCTAAAGTTACAATCAAAGACAGTTTATCAACACTGAAGAAAATAGATTGGATTTGCTTTACTCTTTAAATGATTTACTGAGAATTCTCAGATGCTAATTTGCTGATACATCAGTTTTAGCATAAATAGAATGGCATGAAATTTTTTTAGTTATCCCAGTATTATCCCTTAGCTTCTAGAGTGATCCATTTCTATAACATCTGCCTGTTCCTTCCCTTGATGTATAGCAAAAGGAAATTGGCTTTTAAATAGTATTAGCAGTGTTAAAATGCCTTATTTGAGTGAGGAATCAGTATGATCATCTTATGAGGCGTCATTAAAAATAACATTGAATTTCTACAGCAGTACAAAGTACATTCTGCGTCAGTATAGAAGAATAAATTGCTAGAGGTTTCAGCCTCAGAGGTGCTGTTCACTCAATTCCTGTTGACTTCAGTGGGAGTTCAAGATATTCAGCACCACCTAGTCTAAGGCATTTTGTTTATTATTCATTAATTACAGTAGCACCTGGAAGCCCACCTGAGATTGGGGCCACATTTAGTATGGTAATACATTGTAACCAATGCGCCATTCTAATCGTACACACCATCATTCTTTAAAGTGGGAGGTCAAGGGACAGTATATGGTAAAAATAGTGGGGAAACTATTGTAACAAACCATTAATTTTGTATTAAATATGAACAATTCCGATTTTCTCTTTTCCTATCCCTGTATTTGCTGTAGGAACAGGGAGGGAGGAAGAAAGGATGATTTAAACCACTCTTGCACTCCAATTCTTGGCCCCAGTGGTGCAAGTTAGAGCAGCCTCTAGATGTAATAAGCTAGCTGAGAATAGCCAGAGTGCAGTTTGTTCTGGACATGTCCCCTCCTGCCCCCTGCACACCTCAAATACACAAAGCTGAGGGGAAAGTGTAGAGCCATTTCAGCAGCAGTGTGCTGGCTGGGCCACCCTCTTATATCAGGGGTGTTCCCTGGGGGCCCTTTCTGCAACTCTCTGTCCCCACCCCATTTATTACACCTTTATGCCCATGTAGCAACCTGAATGGGCCAGACAGAAGAGAGACTCTAGCCCCTGAACCATTAAATAACATTACAGTTGTGACACAAACTGTCTGTACTGGGCAGGGGCGGCTCCAGGCACCAGCGCAGCAAGCGTGTGCCTGGAGCGGCAAGCCGCGGGGGGTGGCCTGCTGGTTGCCATGAGGGCGGCAGTCAGGCGGCCTTCGGCGGCATGCCTGCAGGAGCTCCGCCGGTTCCACGGTTTCGGCAGCAATTTGGTGGCGGGTATGCCGAAGGCGCGGGACCAGCGGACCTCCCGCAGGCATGCCGCTGAAGGCTGCCTGACTGCCGTGCTCGGGGCGGCAAAATACATAGAGCTGCCCCTGGTACTGGGGAAATTCAGTTCAAGCTTGTCCTTATCTCAGATCAGTGTGATAAATACAGGCATTGCATCAGGAGTTAAGGGCAACATGCTGGATTTAATTTAGGATGTCCTTTCTCCTCTTCGGTTGTTATTTCCTTGTTTAATGTTTGTTTGTTTGCTTGTTTGTATTTGTTGATATTTGTTCTCTTGGTTGTTTGTTTTTAAATGTCATAAAGAGTAAGAATCCACAAGCCCAAGAGAATCAAACTGTTCCTGCTTCCTGGATTATTGTATTTATAATTTGTTTCTGTGCATATTATTATCCTTTAAGGAACAGCCGGGTGCCTTTGGAAACCTTCCTGTGTTAGGGCCCGATCTTGCATCTATTAAAGTAAATGGGAATTTTACCGTTGATTTCCCTGAGAGCAGGAACAGGTCCTAAGTCGGTAGTTAGTACTGCAGCAACCAGTGGTGAAAATCACGTCAGTAAAAATATCCATATTAAATTATGAATAAAGCTACACTTCTAGCACATTAATACTGGGGGGAAAGAGTTAATAACTTTGGCTGTTTAAAAAAAAAAAAAAAAAAAAGTGTTCCTAGTCTTTTTATATTTATATATATATATATCCATCTATGGAAAAGCATCAAATAAAACCTGTAAACAGCGTTTTTATTTTATACATTTCTTTAAGTGAGCTGCTCTTCAGTTGATAATCTGGAGACCAAAAATCAATTGCAAATATCATGCCAACGCAAATGTTTACAGCTGAGATACTAAACCTTTGAAAATAGGGTAGGCTATAATGGAAGTGTTGACTCAACTTTAACTTTAGAGGCAGGCACAAGTGGTGCCAGTTTAATTAAAGCCTGTGTTTAAAATAGGGCTAGCCTTGATATGACATTGATTCACCAGTGTCTCCCTCTTCCCCCACCCCCCAAAACCACTGATGACATTTTGTACCACATACCATTGCGTTGTGACAAATTAATAGATCATTTTGTTTTCTGCAGGAAAACTGAAGACTTTTATAACAAAACCTCCAGTGTCAAAATGAATACAGGTATGCTGTTTCTGTGAGATTTTTCTTTACTTGTATATCTTTTATTTAATAAGCAAACTAGGGCCCAAATTATTAAATGTTCATGCACAAATTACACTAAGCTGATATTGAAATTAAACTAAACAGGATGTTGTTTTAATAGTATGTTTGTATATGTATATTTATATGTGCCACATATAAAATATATATACACATATGTTTATGTATGTGTATATATATGAAATATGAATGTTTGTATATGTTGTGTATGTGTTTATGTATATTTTATGTATATATATATATAATTGTAAAATGCATATATACGTTCTGCAGCACAACGACATACATAATAGTCAAGGGAAAATAGCATCCCTTTATCTCTGGAAAACAGTACTATAATGCTTGCTTTTCTGTAAATATCCTATTAGGTGGGTTTGAATATAAAAAGAGGTTGGTATTTAATAAATTAGTGGCTATGTGGATCACAAATTGAATATGTGCCAACAATGTGATGCAGTTTTAAAACAGGCTGGGGTGTATTAACAGGAGACCTGTAAGACGTAGGAAGTAATTGTTCTGCTCTACTTGGCATTGGTGAGGCTTCAGCTGAAGTTGTGTCCAGTTTTTGGGCACCACACTTTTAGAAAGATGTGGACAAATTGGAGAGAATCCAGAGGAGAGCAACAACAATTATAAAAGGTTTAAATAATATGGTCTGTGAGGAAAGGTTAAAAAACTAGTCATGTTTAGTCTCAAGAAAACAGACCTGGTAACAGTCTTCAGATATGTGTGACAAAGTTCCTCCTCTATCTTGGTGGGTCCTGTGCTTATTGGCGGATTTTCTTGCCTCAGAGATTCACCATGTGGGTTGGGGAACAGCCCAGAGACCTTCCCCTCTGGAAGAACCCACAGTCCAGGTCACTTGGGAGGTTTGGGAGGAACCCGGGCCTGCCCTCTACTCCGGGTTCCAGCCCAGGGCCCTGTGGACTGCAGCTGTCTATAGTGCCTCCTGTAACAGCTGCATGACAGCTACAACTCCCTGGGCTACTTCCCCATGTCCTCCTCCAAACACCTTCCTTATTCTCACCACAGGACCTTCCTCCTGGTGTCTGATAACGCTTGTGCTCCTCAGTCCTCCAGCAGCACACCCTCTCACTCTCCTTGCGCCTCTTGCTCCCAGCTCCTCACACTCGCACCACAAACTGAAGTTAGCGCCTTTTAAAACTCAGGTGCCCTGATTAGCCTGCCTTAATTGATTCTAGCAGCTTCTTCTTAATTGGCTCCAGGTGTCCTAATTAGCCTGCCTGCCTTAACTGGTTCTAGCAGGTTCCTGATTACTCTAGTGCAGCCCCTTCTCTGGTCACTCAGGGAACAGAAAACTACTCATCCAGTGACTAGTATATTTGCCCTCTACCAGACTCCTGTACCTCACTGGTCTGGGTCTGTCACATATGTTAAGGGCTGTTATAAAGATGGCAGTGATCAATTATTCTCCACGTCCCCTGAAGGCAGGACAATAAGTAATCGAATTAATCTTCAGCAAGGGAGATATAAGTCAGATTTGAGGAAAAACTATCTATACAGATAAATAAGTACTGGAAAAGGTAACCAAGGGATGTTGTAAAATCTCTCTCATAGGAGGAATAGGTTAAAGAAACACGTGTCAGGGACTGTCTAGCCCAGTGGTGGGCAACCTGCAGCCCGCGAGCTGCACGCAGCCAATCAGGGTAATCCACTGGTGGGCCACGAGACAGTTTGTTTACATTGACTGTCCTCAGGCACGGCCTCCCACAGCTCCCAGAAGCCACAGTTCGCCGTTCCTGGCCAATGGGAGCTGTTGGAAGTGGCCACCAGCACATCCCTGTGGGCCGTGCCACTTCCCGCAGCTCCCATTGCCTGGGAATGGCAAACCGCGGCCACTGGGAGCTCTGGGTGGCTGTGCCTGCGGACAGTCAATGTAAACAAACTGTCTCGCGGCCCACCGGTGGTTTACCCTGAAAGGCCGCAGGTTGCCCACCACTGGTCTAGCCTCAGCACAGGGGGATGGACACTAGATGATCTCTCGAGGTCCTTTCCAATCCTGTAATTCTATGATTCTATATACATTTATATTATCTTTCAGGCTGCTATGGTAGAAATGTAAAATCTGGTCATAACCAAAACACAAATTGTAGAATGTTTGTTTTATGGTGTATTACAAAGTACAAATAAAAACTATAGCTTGATCCTACACTATTGAAGTCAATGGGAGTTATGCCATTGTCTTTAAATAGGGGCTGGATTGACCTGTACAGTAGACAAGTGAAATACTGGCCCCATTGAAGTCAATGGCAAAATTTATAGTTACTTCAATGAGGCCATGATTTCACCCGATGTGTATATAAATAACTAATACCACACTATCAGGTTTACTCAGTGCTATGATACTAGAGATAGTGGATTCTCTGAACACAATAATAAGCATCATGAGCAAATCAGCTCAAGTAACTTTTTATTCATCTGAAGCTTGTATTGTTTTATATTCAGTAACTGGTGGATCACACAAGAGTTTAATAAGGAAGATGCTATTTATTGTAATAATATTCAGAATTTCTCTCTGCCCAGTTTTATACTTGTTTTCTTGTGAGAGCTGAAGTTACAGTAGAAATTTATATCCATATATTTATATATATTTTTAAATTAAGGTAGTTATGAAGCACTCCTTAGTTGATGGAATTATGATGTGAGAGGTAACTCAGCTAATCATCATCACACATATGACTACAATTCAATTGCATATTGCAGTCTCATGGGTTCAAATCTAGTAAATATTATTTTGTGGATCTCTCTCCCTTTAAAAATGTCACATTTCATTGCTCTAATATCACAAATGTGACTTACAGCCTCCTCATGACATCATAGCTATGACATATGGGTTGTTCTAACTTACAGTGAGATTTTTGCTACAAGTTTCAATGTAGTTGAATTCCTTTTGTTGTGGACTTTAATCCTAATGCCTCCAGAGCACACTTTGATAACCAACTACTGAAACATCCTAGGATTGCCTAAACAAACATGTCGTCATGAACTTACGCAGAACTTAAACCTGTTGCGCATTTACAGATTGAGGAGCACATCACTTACTTGTGAACATCTATAGCAGTTGTCCACAATTACCAGTTCCACTAAAAGAAGAAATTACCCAATGTGATGGGGCAGCAGCCCCTTACTGGCTGGCAAAGGATTAATAGCAGCCCTTAGAGTGGCTGCGCAGAACCCAGCCAACCAGAGGAAGGCTTAGAAGCAGCCAATCAGGGCCAGGCTGGGCCGTATAAGGAGGACTGCAGGGCAGAGAGAAGCTGAGGGAGAAGGACTGGCTGCCTGTAGAGAGAAGTACCTGGGACAGAGCAGTGCCACCTGGCTGGCTCCCAGACTGAGGCCTTGATACAGGGGCCGAGTAGGTGTTGGGGCTACAGGGAAGTGGCCCAGGGATAGCAGGTAATGGCAGAGAGGGGAAGGAGAGGCAGTGAGTGACTGCTAGCTATAGGGTCCCTGGGTGATGGCCCAGAATGGCGGGTGGGCCTGGGCCCCCCCCCCCCTTTGCCCCACTGGCTGCTGAGGGAAGTGTCTAGCCAAAGGACTGCAGTTTGCCCCTGTGTGAGGGGCTGGACTAGAGGCTGCAGTTCACCACTGCGGCGAGAGGCTGGGCGAAGGACTGCCGGTTTCCCCGGAAGTGGGGAGACAACGGAGTTGGGGGACAGCCGGAGGGCCGTGCCTTGAAGAAGACGCCATGGTCCGGGAGCGATGCGGGTCCCCACAGACAGCAGAGATGGTGGAGAAGCAGTGACGGAGAGTGAGACGCCACAAGAGGCGAGCGCCCTGCTGATGGACAGAGCTAATTCCCAGAGCAACCAGCAGGAGGCGCCACGGTGGTGAGCACGACCCATTACACCCAAATAAAGTAATAGTTCACATTTAATTCTATTGATGTAGTCTGCAACCCCATGGATTGCTGGATTAAGCATAAGTATTGAGAGTTATTCCTGACATAGCACCAGGAGTAGGATACTGAGACATCACTTCCACTAAGCATGAGAGCGGTTGAGATAAGAGATACTCAACATAGTGTACTTGGTTACTTAGAGCTTCCCAACCCTCCTACACATGGCACTCTGAGTGCTGTTAAACCAAAATAATAGTGCAGCGACCATCTTTGACCTGTGGATTTACTAATGCTTCATAGCAGGAGTCTGTGCATGTACACAGCTGTAGGTATTAGGTACTACAGAGTTGTCACCGGTGTCTAGTAAAAACTGGGTCATTCCACAAACTACTGGTCTACTTGAAGGATAAATGGGTCCTCTGTAGCTCTGGTGAATCCTGTAAAGTCATTAGACTGGGGCAAATTAAGTTTAAAAAAAGGAAAAAGTAGGCCTGTTTCTTAGCGTAGACTCTTTCATGACGGGATGCAGAGATAAAGTTTCTTGACACCTTAAATGACTACTTCTTGGAGCAGCTGGTCCTGGAACCCACCAGAGGAGAGGCAATTCTTGATTTAGTCCTAAATGGAGCACAGGATCTTGTCCAAGAGGTGAATATACCTGGACTGCTTGGTTTTAGTGAAACAAAGGGTAGGTATAAATGGTCAGTTTTCAGAATGGAGAGAGGTAAATAGTGGTGTCCCCCAGGGGTCTGTTCTGGGACCAGTCCTATTCAACATATTCATAAATGATCTGGAAAAAGGGGTAAAAAGTGAGGTGGCAAAATTTGCAGATGATACAAAATTACTAAAGATAATTAAGACCCAGACAGACTGCGAAGAGCTACAAAAGGATCTCTCAAAACTGGGCAACAAAATGGCAGATGAAATTTAATGTTGATAAATGCACAATACTGCACATTGGAAAGCATAATCCCAACTATACATATAAAATGATGGGGTCTAAATTAGCTGTTACCTCTCAAGAAAGAGATCTTGGAGTCATTGTGGATAGTTCTCTGAAAACATCCACTCAATGTGCAGCTGCAGTCAAAAAAGCAAA